TAACTAAAGCCTCAACTTTTGATTGAACACCGCAAATTTTCTTAGGTACCTTGAAACTTTAGACCTTCGAAGTTAAATGCAACCGCAGATTCTCAAGGAAGCAAAATTTAATTGTAAATATATTATATACCGTGAACGAATTGTCACGTATAACCTCAGTACAACATGTAACATGGCGTGTAATTCAATATATTGTAAGAGCAGAGCATTTTATTACTGTAATCTATATATAATCTTTAAAATATAGTTCGAAAAGCTGGATGAAGTTGTAAAAGAAATGAAAAAGAAATACTCTTTATATGTGTAGAAAACATGTTAAAATAAATTATTGTTTTTTGTTATCGAGACGCAGCGTGTTGAATTTTAATCGAAATGTTGTGACTTCAACAGCTTCTTCACTAATTTTAAGAATATCACATAATTTTGGGATCTTTCTTTGCGTTATTGCGTTTTTCTACAAGATACGAAATTTTCCTACATTTTTTCTCGGTGATTTTAATTACTCCCAGACTGATGTGACATCTATTCAATATGAAATATAAATAAAACTATAAAAACCACAATCATTCACACCCTTAATTCACAAAATCACCCCCAAATAATACAGCAGATTTAGTAAAGAAACTATCATACTTAAGAAAACTTGTACTGAAACGGAAGCTTCAAAAGTACTGTCTCTCCAAAACGAAGAAAATTAGGAAATATGTTTATTTGAACTTTGTCCTCTGCATATTATTAAATAAATTTACTTTTATAATGCATAAGATAGACATATGCGGAGTATCTGAGATCAAACAAAAGGGAGAAGGAACCATCAAATACCAAGACTACATATTTGCCTAGTGGAAAATCAAAGCAAGACCTCACCAACTCAGGTGTGAGTATTCGTATTTTACATTTTAAGTACTCTGATATTATTGAAAACATAGAATACGTTTCCCGAGGTCCCACTTCATCTAAAAAGCATCTATGCTCCCGATATATCCAAACCAAAAGAAGATTCTGAAAGCTTTTATGACTCCCTACAAACCACTATTGACCAAATACCCAACAGCAAAAGCTTAATACTGCTCGGAGACTTTAATGCTTGGATTGGCATAGCAGAAATTTCAGGTGTAAAACAGAAGTTTAACGAACCAACCCTCAATGAGAACGGCGAGTTCCTAATAGACTTTTGCGCCAGAAATGAGCTAAGAATAAATAACACCTTCTCCAACATAAATATCAACAAAAATACACCTACCGCAATACAAGCGGAAAAAAATCCATCATTGATTATATAATAACGAACAGAGCAAATAACCAGAAAATATGTGACCGAACCAACGACATAGCAGAGAATATGTTAAAAATTGCCGGATCAACTTGAGGAAACTGTAAAAGAATGTAGGGTTCGTAATATGAAACGCATGGATTTTATTTCCGGCTTTTGTATATCCCAGTAAAGGTATATAGATTTGTGAAATCACATTCAGTAAAAAAAATCGTATGGGAGCCCATTTGGATGTCACAAACTGCCCTTGAATGTTTCACGAAACCAATCGAACGCATTGCGAAAGATCCTTATGCGCTGCCTCATGACTTTGATGCAGAAGAAAAAGGAATGGAAATTTAAAGAAAAAATAAAAAGATAAACTAATTCTGCAACATTTAACTCAACAATTAATCAACATGGGTTATTTAAAATAATTTCTCTTACATACAAATGGGCTTGATTATGACATTTCAACCGACTTAAACACAATGAACTTCACTAAAACACGCAGTCTTTTTTCTCGATATCCAATAATCAAATCAATAGGGAGTTAACGGTGAAAACTAAGTGTTACAAAATACATTGACAAAATAATAAATGTCGCAAATTAATCGCAGAATAAAAAAATACAATAATATGAACAATTGTCAGAATGAAGAAAACTTTGAAGATAAAGCTGATATATGCATACGTTAATCATCAATTGCAACATTTAACAAACTCGGGCTGATAAAATGATTCAATTAGAAAAGTATGTTGGAAACAAGGTGATGAAAATGTATTATATGAGTTAATTCAAAATTCAAATTTAGTTCTTTAATTTGTCTGCTAATTGATATGCGTTGTTTACATGAACCAAAACTTCTGTAAGAAGAAATGAAAATGCTAGAATGACTCATAATAACTATCCATGAAAAGTTTCTTTTTTGTTTGCGCCTGAGTCGCAGCTTGATAAAGCAGTATTAAATAGTTTCACTTGAACAAAGAAGTTTGCCTTGAATATTAACAATCAAAATAAAGCGAAGTTAAGAGTTTTAAGCCGATGACAGAGTATTAACTAAATTAAAAAATCTATCAGTTTGGGAGTAATAAAAATATATACGAGCTCCTAATAATTGGCACGGCACATTCAGATGAATTGCTATAATTTACGATTCATTTGCAATTATTTAGCATTACTAATTGAGATAAATTTTCATCGAAAGTTTGAAAGCAACGTGAACTGCAACTGAGTATTGGTTCAATATAGTAATATAAAATTATTATCGAATAATATTGTAGTAGGTAGGTACTGTTATCTGATTATAAAAATGATGGCAGCCCGGTTGATGATAGTGATGACACACAGATAAAAAATTAAAAATTAACACGACGAATGTGTTTGTTTATTAAATTACAGTAGAGATGGACAAAAATCAGAGTTTGTTTAGAGGCCCATTAGGATGGCAGACGAAAGAGGGGAACAAACTATTTGCAACGCTGAGTAGCATTGCTTGCAATTGTCTGCATAATAGTTTTGACTTTTACGCTTTTATTACGCCGCAGGAAAATTCCTAAATACTTCAAAAATGCAAATTATTAACTAGTGCACAACCTAACAGTTGGGTTGCTTTATTAGAATATTATTTTATTAGGAAATTTATGATATATCACAGCTAATTTTGCAAACGAAGTATTAAAAATCTGTTCCAATCGCTCTCGTTTCGTATATACAGTTAAACTTTCCTTCAGTATATTTCGAAAGAAGTATACGTGTAAATAATATCTCTCTTCTCTGCCAAAGTCAATCTTAAAAATTCGTCTCCAATCGCTTGCAACCCAATACTAATTGCTAAGGAGTAGCAATAATTGTTCATTCATATTCGCCTTGATATTAACTTGTCTATATTAAAGTTTATAGAATTTGTAAGTTCATACGACAGTAACTGCTTGTTGTAAAAGTTCCTTGAACCATTGTCGAAGTTAGTAGTTAATTACTTTTATCCTTCCATACAATATGAATACGCAAATAAAACCTCGACTTTAGTTCGGAAAACTGAAGTCACTCTATTTATACGAAGAAAGATGGATTAGGTAAGTGCGTGTCGCTTTTAGATTTATCAGTATGCTAGAAACTAAATTTAAGGGGCACCTATTTAATAATTTTTGACCATGAAACATGAATAATATGAATAAATGTATATAATAAAATCAAGTAGAAAGGTAAATAGCGATTGATAGTGTTTCATTTTTAAAGAATCGAAGCGTTTTTAAATAAAAATAAAACATTTGCATGACCATTTAACATACGTAAATAAGGTAAATATTTTAAAATAAACAAATTTAGGAAACACTCTTACACTGCATTAATTTATTTTCCTTTGAGTGTTTGCGAAATTTGAAAATCGAGCTTGCGGTTTATCTGTATGGTCGCTTTTTATCGTAAAAATTTAGATGATGTTGATGACACGTTTTGTCCTCATTCAAATTGTTCTAGTTAAATCTACCATAACTCAGAACTTGTCCATCATCCTTTGCTAATTGAGAACTAATATGAAGAATCAATTCAGATTTTAAAAAAAATCCTTTAGCTTGGAAATTTGAGAGATAGTAAAATAAACCGTATAAAATAGTATTGAATTGACATATTTCTTCTTCCACAATGTTTCCGTCAAAATATTTGTGATTATAAGTGGTCTCAATTCTAATTCGGAAATAATTGAAATATTAAACAACAGTTTTTATTCATTAGCTTCGTATTGCAGACACCCATTCAGACATCTAAAATTAATCCAAAATAATATTAAGTCAATTAAATGAATTAATTAAAGTATTGAACCTGAGAAGCTATGCTGTATAAATTGAATTGATTTATAAAAAATTAACAAATATGTATGTTACCAGGTCGTTCTGTTTTCCTGCACTCTAAAATGTATTGGTAAACAATAGACTAATCACTACAATTAAATTGACATTACCAACCAATCCAGTTTAAATTAATACTCGACAATTATCAAACTTTCTCAATTAAAAAATAATTAAAGCGCTTTGTTTCTGAAACTCCAATCAGAACTTTCGAATTGTTGAAAGATAAATTGAAGTAGGATAACAAAACTCTTTTATTAGATTTCTTTCGGTGAAAACTATCGGCGATTCCAACTTGAAAAAAGTTGTAGATATTTGATTATTAATCACGCTAGAATAAAGTAGAAGTAGACGAATAAAGTATTTAGTAAATACTGTTCAATTGAAATTTAGGTTGAACAGTTTACTTAAATCATTTAGAAATCGTACGTAAACTCCATATAACCACATTAGTTATTTAAGAGATCGGTTTATTCCGTCAAACATATAAATAAATGACAAATAACATGGATCATTTGAGTCTTCCGAGTAACGCCGAGAAGGATGTATTTCTGCGAGAAATATACATGGCAAACAATGAATGATGGATTATCTTAAAAGTTTCAAAGCGAAAGTCTAAAAGAATTCGACATCATCAAATCATTTTTCGATCGGTGATCGGAATATATGATTGCGTGTTTTACATTATGTATGACTATTCTTCGGACTCTCACAATTGTATAGCAAGTTATTTAAGCGTAATTACGTAACGTTAATGTTCATTAAAAGCCGCACAAACTCGCTTAATAATTCTGTAACACAATGCAGGGGTATAACAGTAGTTTCTTGAAATTATGTGCACGCACCTTGATTTTTTAGTTTTATAAATAAAAACGATTAAAATCGAATCAACTGTACTCACCTCCTTTTTCAGCATTAGTTATCGTCACCCAAAAATCGATCGTTTTTTCCGGTCCCAATTCTTCGTAGTCCCACTTCTTTCGCACTTTAACGGATCCATTTGGTTCAACGATCACCCAGCTGTTTTCATCTCGAATTTTAAATGTTTCTTTCTCAGTTTCCTTTTCCAGTTGGAAAACTACTCTTCCCTCGATTTCGCCATCAGTTTCAGTAAATTCAATTCGCTTTGTGGGCCGCACGGCACGTGTTACTCGCCGTTTTTCCCGATGTAGGATATGCCCATCTATACAAAACCAAATAATTATTACCACGAATACCTTTGAAAAGTGGTTAAGCTAATTTATTTGCTATAGAAAGTATTAAGTTTTGGCTTTTTATCAGTGCATGACAATCCAAATTGTATTTCAATGAGTGAGAAATTGGATAGCTATTCCTGCTAGAAATTCAATAGAAAATTTTCCGGGAATAATTGCCATTTCTGCGAAAATAATTTAATTATGAAGAGAAAAGCTCAATAGTATTCATAAAAAATGCGAAACCATTAAGAATGAAATACCTACACATATCATCGGTCAATTGATGTCTTCACTCGATCGACTTAAGGTAAATCGATGTAAAATTATTATACTAGATGTTTGGAAGCAGGAAATGATCACTGAGAGTGATTAATTATTCGTTAGATTGACCCAAAACTTGCATACTTAAAGGTTTTCGCAATTCAAATTTACACGTTCTCGTAACATCTTAGATATGCACACTTTTCGATCACTAACAAACTCCAGCAGATTTAAAGTGTTGCCGATTTCCATATTTACACTATTTTCGTTTTCCTCCAAATATCGCGAAAGGATTTACCTTTTGTCACTCGCATAAATCAAAGTAAATGTCCCGTCAGATTTCAGGACTCAATACACCTCAATTTCTTTATGAATGGTCATAGTGAAAAGCGAATGTGTGAAATAAATTTTGGAAATTGAGATTACTTTAAAGCCAAAACTTATTAGTTGCTTTATTACAACAACAGCATGACTACGAAGCAAATGAAAATGGCAAATACATTTAAAATTATCATTTGTCACTTAAAAATTAACCAAGACAGAGAAAAAATAAGTGGACTTTATCGTTTTTTAGCTTTGGTAATAAAGCGATTGGCTATTGGCGGATCTTATAAAGACTATGAAGTAAATACTCAGGGAACTGTTTGATGCTGGGACTTCTTGCTCTAATCTGCATGCTTGCCAGTATCATTCACCACCTTCCAAACATTCTGTATAAATATGGGAAAGCTGGTTTAAAGTGAATTCTAGCTCTACTGTGGCCTTTGGATCTCTTTTAATCAGAGTAGAGCGTTTCGCCCAATGCAATGTTATAAACAATTTGCCATTATACTACGAATGTTTCCATTATTATCTCGTACTTTTCTTGGGCGTTACTTATCTTAGAGTGACTACTTTGAACGAGTCAACAAAAACTTAAATAATTTATGTGTTTTTGTTTATGGAGATGAAAGATGCTTTACTCCTTTATACAAGTTCATTTATTAATGCAAATTATTCCAGACATTAAACCCTACACAACTACAGCGAGAAGGAAAAAATACTCACTGAACGGGAGAATGAAAATACTTCAAATTTTGTAAAAACCCTTTAAGCAATAATTTTACATAAGGAGCTGAAGCATTAGCTTAAAAGTAGAAGCATCAAAGAAAAATGTCACATCGAAATGCATTACGATATTATTAGAGCTGATAAATGTCTGAATGTATATGATATGTAAATATATGAGAAAAAAGATTAGTAAATATTTTTGGTCACTTCAATAAACTGCTTCCTACGTGTACTACTTCAGCTCTAACTATGGAAAGCTTTATAAAACACACGAAATCCGCGTTTCAAAAGGCTAATTTGGTTATGTTGAAAATGTGGGCCAATCCCGCATTTAATACTGCCTAAAGAAAATATCAGAATAAGTATCCCAATTAGCACAGTTCTAAGTGAGAAACCAAAGCGATATAAAGCGAATAGCGATCAATTACAATTAATGCAAATTAAATTACATTCCTGCGCCGAAAATAGATGCAACAATCTACTAACCTTCTTCTAACGTTTGCAAGTCTAGAACGGCAGTGTCTTCTGGAGGTTTAAATTGGAAGATAACTTGTGCTGGCCTGGGAGATGTTCTACTTGGCATCCGTAAATCATGGGCCTCTACCACCAATTCTAACTCCACTTCTTCAATGGGCTCCAAAGCAAGAAGAAGATCACCAGTTTGCGGCACAATCACCAAAAAACTGGTTGGTGTAACCAGCCTGTATGCAACTTTATCGCCATCAGCATCCATAGCTTCCACTTTTCCGATGGAGGAAAAACGTTTCCAGTTGGTTGTGACATTATCACCTTCGGCAGAATCATCACCAACAACAAATCTATAGACTTTCTGAGTGAAAACTGGGCTGTTATCGTTTTCGTCATCGACTTCAACAACTATATTCGTCACTGCCTTGTTTACACCACTTAAGTCGCTTGCTTGGATGGTTAAAATGTATCTGGCAACATCTTCCCTATCAAGAACTTGTGCAGTTACAACGTACACCCCGCCAGAATTATCGATAGTGACATTAGGCGAATTTTCACTAGTAATGCTGTCTCTCAATTCGAAAGCTTGTTCTACATTTCCTGCGATTATGCTGTAAGTTACTGGGAAATTGTGACCACCAGTTGCCTGAATCAATGATAAGCCTGATACCCGGGTACCTATAGGTTCGTTTTCCGAAACTCTCCCTAGAATGTCATCGCTATCATCTTTAAATTGCAACATGTTCCGCCTGTCCAGCACGAACAGCTGAAGAAGATGCTGCTTGGTGGTGTTTCCATCATTTTCCAGAACAAGTAGATCAACCGGCCGATCAACAAGTGGACTAACATCGCTAACTGTCATAATAGAGCCATCTTGCAACATCGTAAAAAATTCACTAAAACTTGAATTGACTAGAGTGTAATGTTCGTTGAATTTTTTAACGCTATATCCCGGATGCGCGTCATGTGGTATCACTGACACTATATCTGATTTTGCAGGCGGAAGAATAGCAATGGCAAGAACAGCCATCGCTTGAATGAGCTTCATATCGCCCCTAAGGAATGAAGGTTGTTTCATGTCGTTGAATATCGGAACATTTGTAGGAGTTGCTTGACTCTGAAACAAAACAAACAATTGACAAACTTTATAAATATAAATACAATTTTAAAAATAGTGATGGAAAGAAATGGAAAATATTCGACAAACGGATGGAAGTCAAATTACGTTGAACCTGGACTTGGTAGCTTGTAGGATCAGCCACCAGTAATAAATTTATCAATTGTTCTATTTCATATTTAACTTATTACAAGCATTATTAACGGGTAAACCAGTACTGGATGGAAGTGTTTAAAAAAACCTTTAATGTTGTGTTAAACTGCACACTTAATACAGATGGATAACAATCCCACTACATAGAAACATCATCAGATACCACTTTAAAGTCGCTTTTATTGTAGCTTGACACAACATTTAATGATAATTCCAACCCTACCTAACTATCAGCATTACATTTAAATTGATGTTTTTCTTGTGGGCTATATTACTGTTTAGATCAGAGTTTTACTACTTGATTAAATCATATTATAGTGGGTCATAACTTTCGTAACTTTGCTTGCTTGCTTAAAAAAGCATAGATATGAAATTGCATTTTACTTCGTTACAAAAATTGTTTGTTTTACGATGTCATTGA